GCCCGCTGCCGCACACAACTCCGCCGACGCCGACACGACGTCCTCTCTCCTTTCGCCTCCTCATCCTCCTGCTTCCGAAATCCTCAACTCAGATTCGGAGCTACTGCCGCCGCCGCCTCCCCCGTTGTTGTTCCAAGCGCCCCCACAAAACCCCCGGCCGTGGCGGCGGCCGCGGCAGCGACGGGCTTCGGCGGCGGCACGCGGTGCATGAGGAGGAGAAGAAGGGGAAGGCACGACTGCGGTGTCGCGATCCGGAGCAGGAGCCGATGGGGAAAGTGCGGCTGACCCGCGCCTGAGCGATAGAGATTGAGAGATCCAGGGTTCGTGAGCGAGTGTGAAAAAGAAAGGTTATACTGAAGACTTCAGCTGGTGGCGCCACCAAGATGCAGACCAGCAATTTTCGTAAGAAGGTTTGAGATCAATCTCTCGCCCTTGGATTTTTGAGCTTGCTGCTTAGTACTGAATTAACCCTGAAATACTTGTAAGTAGACTCAAGGGACACCAACATTTTCTAATATTAGTTTGTGCGACTAAATATATTGAAACTTGCTACATATTGACAAATGATTCAGATGTAAGGATCATTAAAGAGGCATGAGGAGTTGAACTTTGCTACTCTTTTGCTTGCACACCGAACTTGATCATGCTGCTCTTATTTTTTTTAAGAAACAAAGAAAATGAATCATGTCTAGGTTATCAACCCAAAATTAAGCTCGTAGGATGTTTATTTTGATAATTTCTTCATTTTTTAGAAAGAGAGGAAACCCTCTTCCATTTCCATTTATTAGAAATGATAGTCACATGTCTTTGAACCACAATCTGGAAACGAGAAGAAGTTAAAAAAACATGATGCAACTATTTCGCCATCCGATTCTAGTTGAAAGAGAGCACTTCTTCCTGCCAAAGCAACATCTTCTAGTCAGAAATCTAACTGTCTAAGACCACATACTAGGTTAGCAGCTATTAATTACATATCGAACATCATCTATCAGCAAAAGCCCAAACCAACTCTGAGTCTACCCCCTTCAAACCCTGCAATCATCTTCCAGGACAGAGATCACTTCTCTTACAAAGCTAAAAAGACAGAAAGTATCAGCACTACCAGAACCCTAACCATCAAATTCTGCTCGACTATTTCTACTGCACCAGCTGTGCTCAGCAGAATTCACTTGCCACCTACTTGACAAGTTTTACTCACTGCAGCTTTCTTTCCCCCAATCTCTATCTCTGTAAAACAGACCAAGAAGAGACCATTCATTTTTTTTTGAATCCATGATATGTTCACTTAGATGCCATCTTGATTGCCTGCCTAGCTGCTAAATAAATTGATATGATCATATGCCATGTGCCCCTAAGTGCATAACGCCTCATGTACTTGACCGTAATCTAGGACACATTTCCCGGTTTGCCCACACAGTGAGCATCTGTAGCAAATCTATGCTTTCGATATGCTGAAACCTGCTTTTTCCCAGATGAGGCACATGTCTCTTCTTCCATCCAGTGCAGAATGCTGGCATAACTGGTGCTGCACAGTGTGGCACTTATGGCCCTGTTCTTTTCTCCAACAAGAGTTGGATGAAGATTAAGATTATCGTGGCACACTTTTCAAACTGCTAAACAGTGCGTTTTGTGCGAAAACTTTCTATATGAAAGTTGCTCTAAAATATCATAATAATCTATTTTTCAAGTTTGTAATAATTAAAACTCAATCAATCATACGTTAATACCACCTCGTTTTGTGTAAAAAACATAATCTTCATCTTCATCTTCAGGAGAAAAGAACACCACCTATATTTTGGTGGGTAGAGAAGCAGGGCTGTAGCGTACTTGTTTGTAATGTGTGGGAGCATGAAATAGTTTTGGCAAGAAAAAAGTAGCACATGTGGATTGTTATTCTGGTCATTTTGTGGTTAGGGCTTCAGTATGTAACAGAAATTGGTTCTGTAGCGGTAAAACTGCATGTTATGGTTAAGCAAGATTATTTATGTGGAGACCAGCTTTGCATGGTACTTTTCTATTTTCTTTTATTATGAAATAGTCAACACTAGTTTTCATATGGTTGTGCTAGACATTTTGTGGTTAGGGCTTCAGTATGTAAGGGAAATTTGTTCTGTAGTGGACTAGGGGTAAAATATGGCATCTTATGGTTAAGTAAGATTATTTACGTGGAGACGAGCTTTGCATAGTAATTTTGCTTCATTTTTTCTTAAAGAAAAATTTCCAAATAGGCAATCCTAGTTTCATATCCCATCTTTAACAAGAATGGCCTATTCATAAAATTAAACAGAAAACTGTTTTCTAATCTTATTTGTTAGTTTGAGAAAAGAATCTTTTTCCGCCTAAAGCTTAATAGTTTGCTAGCTACTCCCTCCGTTTCATATTATAAGACTTTCTAGCATTGCTCACATTCATATAGATGTTAATGAATCTATACACTTACGGAGGAAGTAGTAAGAGTGACAAGAATCATTATTTTATGGTCGATTGAAACAACTGTAATTGTAATATCGGAGTAGAAAATTTTACTTCCATAATTCTACAATAGTAGCATTTACAATCTTAGTTGTGTAGAGTTTTCCTTAGATATCATGTGGGGTTTGCGTTATAATCACCACAAGGAGAAGAACCAAGGCCAGGAAGGAGGCCCTGCACCGTCACCAGCCTAGTTTAGAGATAAGTTTAGGTTTTGGTTCAAGTTAGTTGTTTGAGTTAGTTCGGTGGTTGAGATTATTGTGTCTGGGCTCTAGCAATATGTAAGCAGAGACTTGGTTCAGGTTTAGGTAGGCATTAGATAGATTATCTTCTTCCTCAGTCGTCCTGTCTCTCTGGCGCGGTGCCAATCATAGTTCCTCAGCACCGCTGAGGTCCATGGCCATGTCCTGTTACTTCATTTAAATACAGCCTACATCGTATTCCCTCATCAAATATTTCTGTACGTGACATTAGATCGCTATGACAATTAATCCTGACTCCTGGTATGTTCATATCTGAGAAAAGAAAAACTTGCTTGGTTTCGAATGACTACAACCTAACAATCTTTAGATGCACGAAAAGAGGAAAACCTTTCTCTTATTGAGCCACATTCCCTGTCTAGATGTAGACACACACATACCATGGATGATTAGTTTGCAACCAGAGGTGATGGGCTGTTGCTCAGCCAGTTCTCTGGTTAACCATTCTACTGCTGTCCCATAAAAAAATTAATTACAGCATCTTATCATCATATATATCATTCATGAGCAGTTTTCTTCTAGGTAGCTGTTTTTAATTAATATATAACCAGTACCAGTTATCTGATTATTGTTTTCTTTTCCAGAATGCAGCAGAGGTGGATTTCTTCATGGGGTATGGTGATGTTAATCGATACGAAGTTCTGGAGGTCATAGGAAAAGGAAGTTATGGACTTGTATGTTCTGCAAATGATATACATACTGGAGAAAAGGTTGCAATAAAGAAGATACACAACATTTTTGAACATATATCAGATGCTGCACGCATACTCCGTGAAATCAAGCTTCTCAGGCTGCTTAGGCATCCTGACATAGTGGAAATAAAGCATATTATGCTACCCCCATCCAAGATGGATTTCAGGGACATATATGTTGTCTTTGAGCTTATGGAATCAGATCTTCATCAGGTCATAAAGGCTAATGATGATTTGACAAGAGAGCACTATCAATTTTTCCTGTATCAGATGCTCCGTGCTTTGAAATATATCCATACAGGTATTAACTTCACGTTCTTGAAGTCCCACTTTCTTGCATGTGCTTCTGTCGTTGTATGCTTATATAGTTATATAACTACTTTCACTCTGAACCAAGGTAATTCATTCCTTTCCTTTATTTGGTCGCATAGCTGCATGCTAATTTTTAAATTGATAGCAATTGAGCAATTCAATAGATTGAGTTTTTGTTTTCTGCCCTTCTCCACTAATTTGGAGCATGTAGCACAGTACTGTTAACTTCATGGTTCATATTATAATTTAAAATTCTATTGCATGATTTGCCTAAACATATTATTATAATTTTTTTATTTGCATGTTTTTTGTTATTACTAATAGGACATAACATATTATTATCTCATTTCATTAAATATGATCATAATAAGTAGCTAACTTTCCATTTCTGACTTGATGCAGCAAATGTTTATCACAGAGATCTGAAGCCAAAAAACATACTTGCTAATGCAAATTGCAAACTCAAAATATGTGATTTTGGCTTGGCAAGAGTTGCATTCACTGATGCTCCCACTACAGTCTTCTGGACCGTAAGGATTTAATCGTGATAATTTTATGCTACATAGATAGATTGCAGTGCAGCTACAATGAGTGGTCAATTAATTCAGTTACCCTTCCTCTGGAGAGTCATCAGAGTTAGTAGACAATTGAATTGTGCTCTAACTTTACATAACTATCAAATAACTGATAGTGTTTGCATTCCAACATATCCATGCAAATGCACTAAGCAATTTTATTGACTTAAGCATTGACCTTTAGGTTACATATGGCCTGTTTCCCAGTCATCGTTTTTTAACTTAAGGTTGTTTTATTTGCTGCAATGGTTGAAAGTGAATTGAAAGTCATATAAAAAAATGCCATGCAGTACCACTTTTGTGGTATGTAATTTGTGACAACTGTGGTGGAAATTGAGGCTATTCCCCTTTTCTTGGGTTTTAGAGTGGGGATGGGTATAGGGGATGGCTTGTGCAGCCCTATAAGTTGCCTAGTTATGGGAGATTTCTGTTTTTTTACTAGTCATTGGGTACTATGAGATGAGATTTTAAATGTGAGCTTACTTTTGCAGGATTATGTTGCAACGAGATGGTATAGAGCACCTGAACTGTGTGGTTCATTTTATTCCAAGGTAAATGACTGGTCATAAATTATATGATTTAGGGTTTGGGAGTGGTCACCAAATTGGTGGTGTTAAGCCTTTTCTCCAAAGTGTGGAGTACTTCCTTTGTTCATGAAAACATGTTTTGGACAATGATACGGTCTTCAAAATGCAAAGTTTGTCCACCAATTTCCATTGGAAAATATATGAAAATCCTGATAAAATTATAATATTGTGAAAGTTAGTTTTGAGACAAATCTATATATACGATTTTGCAGATCTAAATTTTTAGATATATATATGGTGTTCAGTTGACTTGAAACATGTCCAAAATGGCATGTTTAGTGTCTGGAAGGACTACTATATAATGTGTGCTAACTACCTTTGTACTTTTCAAAATGAGTAAATTTCACATAACACGGTATTATGGTCTAAGTTGCACAAAACCACTAGGGTTTTGGCACGTTGTACATAACCCTGATATTGTGGTCATAAAGTTTCACAAAACCACAATATTGATCATTTTGACTTTGATCTACCACATTATTTTAATTCTACCATCACATCTCAAATTTATGAGTTTTTCTATTCATCATACAAATGTTACGTGTAAGCAAAGCTTTTTGGAATTTTGATACTGGAGCATGTCAAAATGGTTAATAGTTTGGTTTTGTGAAACTTTAGGATCATAATACTTGAGGTTATGTGTCACGTGCCAAAATTCCCGTGGTTTTGTGTTATCCTGGACCATAATAGGTTGGGTTTTATGAATTTTACTCTTTCAAAATTGAAGATGTGACCATCAATCCTTTTAGTGGAAGTATGATGCACATCATTATGTGGACTAAGGGAACACTTGAACTAACCATTTGGAATATACTGTATCAATCATTGTGGACTAAAGAAACTCCTTGCATTTATGGTGTTGGTTTGATATTCTATGTTTAATGCAGCAAGATAAACCACTGATCTTTAATTGAGTTGGCACGCCATTTGTTCATGTCACTGAAATGCCACTGTTTGGATTGCAGTACACACCAGCTATTGATATATGGAGTATAGGGTGCATTTTTGCTGAGGTGTTGATTGGAAAGCCACTATTTCCTGGTAAAAATGTTGTTCACCAGTTGGATTTGATAACTGATCTTCTGGGAACACCCTCCTTAGATGCTATTTCTCAGGTACAATAGCTGATCGATGGAAATTTGTTAACAAATTGGAAGTTTCAGATAATATATGGCTATTTTGCTGCTCTCTTCTCTATCTCTGATAAGGTGCGGAATGACAAGGCAAGAAAATATCTGACATGCATGCGGAAGAAGCAGCCTGCATCATTTTCACATAAATTTCTGAAGGCTGATCCATTAGCATTACAATTGCTTAGGAAGCTTCTAGCTTTTGATCCAAAGGACCGTCCATCTGCTCAAGAGGCATGTCATACAAATGATTGTTTTATTGGTCCTACATATCTTAGGAGAAAGTCCATATTTTATCCTTCAGCTATTGCCTTGGTCCAAAATTTGCTCCTCAACTAAGAAAGCCTTTTGGTCCTGAAATCTCAAAATCATCCATATTTCATCCCTTGGTCCAAACTGGGCTGGTTTTCAATGATATGGCATTGTTGAAATTAGTGATATTGAATTATTTGCATGCCATATGTAATCCTAGCTGCAAATCATCACAAAAAAAAGGGCAGGAAAGAGAGGTAGGAGAAAGAAGAGAAAGGAAAAGGAAGTGAGGATGACATACGTGTCCTAGTATTTACTGTGTGGTGATGTCGTTACTTTTTGCACTTGTTGGCTCCATGCCATGTCATCAACCACCCCGATTTGGAACTCGGGATGTAATGTGCATGGTTTGAAGAGTTGAAGGGGCATTTTATAGTTGAGGGATGAAAATTGGATCAAGGCTTGAAGGACGAAAAGTGAACTTATTTTGTTATTCTTACTATGTTGTGCTTTCTATTGGTCCTGACACACTGGACATGTTTGCTAATTTAGGCACTGGCAGATCCGTACTTCAATGGATTAGCAAAGGTAGAGCGAGAACCATCTTGTCAGCCAATTCCAAAGATGGAATTTGAATTTGAGCGTCGGAGAGCAACAAAGGAGGATATCAAGGAACTTATTTTTCAAGAAATATTGGAGTACCATCCTCAATTATTGAAAGAACACATCAGTGGAACAGAAAGGCCAAATTTTCATCATTTAAGGTTTGATGTTTTGTAACTTTGTCTATCTTTTATATTTCAGCCCCTATCGACCTATGTACTTAACATCATTTTTCTGGTCATTCAGTGTGGTTGACCAATTCAGAAAGCAATTTACTCAAGTTGAGGAAAATCTGAATGGAAGTGGGGCTGCTGTTTCGCTACAGAGGAAACATTCTTCTTTGCCAAGGTTACTGCTTTCTTGCGTTAAGTTATTCTTCTCCTGTAGCTTTACCTTGACACTAGTTGAATTGTGTATATATCCAAGAGATGTTTAAGAAATAGGAAAATGGCATATATTTGCTTTGGCATGGCCGTTAAGTAATAAATGGTATCATAATGAATAAAGGCAGGCTTGCTCTTTATTACTCGAATTAGGAATATGTTGCTGCTGCCCTTTTTAGCTGGAAGAGAAATGCAAAGTAGGTCCATAGAGTCCGATGAGTTCTAAACTTTTAGTCATAGCCACGAATATTTCCTGTGAATTTTGATGAATAAAAAACATCAAGAAGGTATACAATGGATTTCTAGTAATTGCATCATGGACCTAACCAAAACGGCAGAAAAATTTTTCAATTATGTATAGAAAATTGTCAAAAGTTTTAACGAAATAATTTGTACAAGCTGGAAAGTTTTGTCAGTTGACACCAGAGAGACTTTCGTCTTGCTAGAAAGCTAAATTCAATCTTGCTTGAAATTCTGACTTTTGAACCTATGATGACTAACTATTTCGGTACTAGTCTAGTTGGTCCTACCTTTTCCACGATGCAGTATTATATAATATATGACTGCATAATACCTACACGCCATGTGATATATCTCATAGCTGCATTCTCTTTCTTTTGCACAAAATATAGGTCAACAATAGTGCACTCTGCTGCAATTCCTGCAAAGGATTATAAACATGTGGCCTCATCTAGTACAAAGCTTGCAGTAGATGGATCTTGGAATGCACAGATTCAGGGAGTACATGCAAATATAGCTGGTATTACTGTGTTACATTCCTGAAAAGCATTATGCCATCTGTATTTGACATGTTGATTTTTCTAGTTTCATTAAATCATAATTAATGAGTGCTCAAATTTGTTGAAAAGCATGATGCCGTATTCGGGGCATTAATGCCGTTTACTCTTTTGCAGGCGAGCCTTCAACTATCGTTAGACCTGCAGTGTCCTCGGAAAGAAGCTTAGCGCCTACACTTCAATGGCAACCAAATATGACGCATTTTCTGAATCATGCATTGTGTTACCAGAACACAGTATTTAGCGGGTCACTTCTTGATGCAACAGGCCCAGCCCAAGCCATTCCTCGAACTACTCCATATGTAGACTACAGGTCCGGGAACTTGGACCTCTATCAGCATCATGTTTCTAGAGAGGATGTACAAAGTGACACAGCCACTGCACAAGCACACGCTGCTTCTCATGGCCCGGTTCCAGCTGTGTCTTACAGTCTTCCAGGGACGTATAGAATCACCTAGACCTATCAGTCGTTCAATCATGGAGGTCTTCCTTTTTCTTTTTTTTTCACCCATCATAAACTGATTGATTACCAACATGCAATAAAAAAGGCAGAGGAACTAGATATGCATGTTCTTTTCTTTCTGGGACTTAGACATGCCATTATGCTTTGCCAGTTCGGAATCAAAAGCCTTCAAATGTATGCAGTTTCCTAGTTACTGCCTTACTTGTTGCAGTGCTCAGGGTGTTCTAAGGCTGTGATCTTCTCTTGTTTTCCGCGCGCACACTTTTTAAACTGCTAAACAGTGTGTTTTTTTTAAAATATCATATTTATCTATTTTTCAAAAAAATTAGTTAATACTTAATTAATCATGCAATAATACATATTTCGTTTTGCGTGCTGGGGAGGAGGGGTTCCTAACCCCTCCTGAACGCTGCCTAAGTTCGGGCTTGTTCACTTTATTGCCAAAATCTACCATTTCAAAATTTGGCATATTTTGGTGCTATCCAGTGGTGGACCAAGGATTTTCATAAGCTCTGTGCCAATTCTAATAGTTGCCTCCTAACACTAAGGCATGGTTAAAAGTACAATGCATACTGAATATTGTGGTTTTATATACAAATACAAATGCATTGTCACAGTTAGCTTCAACACTGAATTTGTCAAAGAATGAACACCATTTATCAGGCCTTGATTGCTTGGAAAGATAACAAAAACAGAATACATCATCTTTAATTAGCAACATTATGAGAACTTTTATGGTGTGTGCATTCAAAAATTATAAATACCCAACGCTCCTTAATCACAGGTACAGTACTCTGGGTAAAAATATAATTTTACTAGTAAAACAAAAATGGTAGAATTGTGCTCTAAATTAGGATCGGTGCCGCATAGGAATTACCGTACGAGTTAACATATTTGGGCGTGTTCACTACTCCCTGTTCCAAGCTTGGAACAGTATGCACGAAACACGGAGCGGTCCATTAGTGCGTGATTAATTAAGTATTAGCTAATTATTTTTTCAAAAATAGATTAATTTGATTTTTTTAAACAACTTTCATATAAAAACTTTTTACAAAAAAACGCATCGTTTAGTAGTTTGAAAAGCATGCGCGCGGAAAACGAGGGAGAGGGGATGGGAAAAGGGGTGCCGAACACACCCAAAGTCTCCCTTGGTGGGTAAAACTGTTGTATTTATGTAAGCAAAACTTACAAAAAAAATTACATCATCATTCGTACATTCATCCCTATCTACACTACAAACCGGCGAATAGGGTTCGTCGTCACTACTAATGTTGTACATAACCCTTAGGCCAAGAGGTGACTCGACCTCTTAAAGTTTCGCCAAAAGTTGGTGCTATCCTCGCGACGCGCGACCTGGTAGCGATCATAGTCCTCTAGGGTTTGACTTGGATGTGCACGCATCCATCCTGCTACCTTTATAATCTTGTAACTGTTATCGTTTATTAGCATCTCGCGGTAAATGGGCCGAAACGAACACTTGATCTTCGGCAAGCCTTTCACCGCCACGAACTTCTTGTTCTTATTTCGCCAATTCCCAAAGGGGGGCCGAACGCACAACTTTTGGCTAAAACCCTGCCAACAAGATATAAAGTGCAGCAAAAAGAAAAAAAAAAGGGGCTAGCGAAATCAATCACACATTACAGTAAAGGCGCACAATTGGCGAAACACTAACTTTTCATTAATAAACATAAGGCCATAACGACTATAAGATGGTAACGGCCACTAGCCGAATATGCAAAATACTTGTATATAGACAAACTACGACTATAAAAGTCTAAAAAGCAAAGAACGCGAGGGCGAAGGGCCTCACACCTCAGGGTGGTCTCGGCCTTCGTTGCCTTCGCCCTCACAATCAGTGGCTGTCTCCGAAGGCCCGGGGTCTTCGCTAGTGTTGGCGGTAGCGGCGTCTTCGGCCCTCGCCATCCTCTCCAGTTGCTCGCGAAAACAGGTCATCATGCCATTCCTACCGTCGCTCTCCCAGAAGCCCTTTCGGCAGGCCTTCAAAGCCGACGCGACGGATTGGGCATTTTTGGGCCAATCCTTCTTCACGGTTTGAGGAAAATCCTCAACATGGTCACAACCATGTTCATGAAGCAGGCTGAGCACGAAAACCGTGGCAACTCGCGTGCAGCAGTCGCCGTACGCGCCAGTCACTTATATATGCATCCACATATGCACATGCCAAACTCCTACACTGGGAGCTAAGCAATATTCCATTCCATTTCCATATTACCACCAAAATAAATTCTCCATGCTTTCATGTGCTTTCTCCTCCTAGTAGAGAAAAAAAAGGAGGGAAAGGCATGGTAATGAAAAAAGAAAAAAAAGGTTATGCTCCATCAAGCATGAGCATGATGTTGAAAAAAAAAATGTAATCACGCCCTCTCCTAATCAATGAAAGAAGGATTTTTGGGAGAAAAAAGTAAGTACAAAGGAGAAGCTTTTTCTTTATTTTCTTTCATATACCATTTCCACAATTTACCACACACATTTTTGCACGATCTTGATCTTGAGTATGTTTAGTTATCTGCTTTAGTCTAAGTTTTTGATTTAGTAATAAATGTGAATGCAGGTATGCCATGTTTGATCCCTACCAAGCTCTACATATTAAAACCTTAGAGTAGGAATAAAAAAGGCAACAATTGGTGAGGAATTCATTTTGATACACTTGGAGAGACCGAGTGAATCATTTGAGGAACTTGGCTTTCTTTTGCAAAATCATTTGAAAACTTCCGGAATAAGAGTTGAATAAAGATTGGGTGATTGATGCTCTAATTGTTGTTCTGTCTTTCAACCGCTCAAGGCAAGGAAAAGCAGTGTCTCGTGGGAATCAGGGGTAAGGGTAAGCCACTGTGCCAAAGATTATTTAATCTGAGAGAGAGTACATATACCTTGCACCTGTATCTTTGAGATATGCAGCATAGTAGCAACTCCTGATAAACAACCAAGTCTTTGTTTCCTTTCATCCTTCACTCGGGACGAGGAAAGGTTCAAGCTTGGGGGGTTTTGTTGACGGTCGTTATCGATCAGTTTCGACCGTCAATATTACCAAAATAGAGGAGAACTAGTGATGCTTGCAATGCATATATATGTTAGAATAATAATATTCTACTAGTATTAGGTATACTAACCTTTTGCAGAGAACAACTATAAAGTAGAGGAGAATCGACATCAACATAGACGATAAATCAATCGGACGGTGTCGAGAACCAGACTTATGTACGAATGGGCTAAGAACTCAGAATTGACGTGACAAACTGGGCCAAAATTCACAAGTCTGTAGAGAAGAACAACGGAGGAGGCCGCCAGCCAAAATTGGGCTGGATTGGGCTGGCCCCAGGTTCAGCCGAACCCTCCTCAGCGCCATCCGATCCAGGGCTTCGTCTGGACGGTGTGGATTAGCCCCCAATGACAGTTGGAGGGTATTTCCGACCATTCCAACCGTCACAACCGTCATTGGGAGGCTATAAAAGGAGTTCTCATCCTCACTTCACTCACACACCTCAAGCAATAGTTCTCTCATTTCTTTCAAGTTTAGTTTAGTAGTATCTAGCTGGTGGAATAGGAATAGAGTAGAAATCAGGGGTCCGAAAGCCTTTGGAAGAGTTCGGGTATGGCTCTAGTAGCTTTTCTCTTCTCTTTTGTAAGCTTTATACTTTTATTAGAATACTCTTCTAAATACATTTATGGTATTGAAATACTTTCCGAGTATATGAGTACCTACTTTATATTATGTTCATGTTATACTGAATATATGGCTAGCTTATCTGGGAGATGCTTTGGTGCGGGTATAGTGTTTGCTTATGCAATTACTCTTTGTCATGACGATGATATTATAGTAGTATCTGGTAGTTTAGACGTGGTGTCTAGATTATGGGATATCATTATTTGGGGTTATATATTGCGGATGAGAGGTGGGCCGCTGATGGTGACAGCTCAGTACAGGTATTCCTCCGCGCCGGTATATAACCCTAAGTTAATTCCCTAGGGAGGGTATTCCTCCGTATTTAGCCCCGGTTGTATGGTCATGACGGGCTGTCGTAAGGAACTCGGCCGTCAGGGATGGCTTCTCAAAGTACCAGGAGGGCATCGGATAGAGGGTATTAGCTAGTATATCGGTTAACTAGAATGTATGCATACTATGTATATTAGAAGTATAGGAATAGATTTTATTTCTCTTTTCTTTCCACTTAGCTTAGATGATATATTATGAGAATGAGTAGTTAATGCTTGTGTGTCACTCTACCCTTGGATTATCTTAACCCCTGCTTAGAATATGATTGTCACAATTAATATATAAATTATTAGTCAAGTTCTCTCTACATGATCTTCCCACGGGATAAAATAAATACGATACCCTTGGAATACTCTCGGGTGAAATGCTACAATGGTATATCCATGCGCTTGCGGATGAACTCTGTAACCATAATATACCAGAAGTATTTCTGCGCCATTGCTGGGAATTATATTTCTAGTAATTTCGTTAAGAAATACTAACAACTAGCTCCCCCTGTCATCGGCTACCATGCCCCAAGGACTTCCAGTCTTCTTCAAGGACAGCTGAGAGAGTCAGCCGATGCCGGCAGGAAGAGGAAAACTAAGGCATCGGCTGTTGATCCATCGACTCTGGCTCCAAAGAAAAAAAACCAAGAAGAATAAATCCAAGCCAGCCGACGACTTGCCTGCCTTAGATCCATCCATAGAAAAAGCCCTGGACGAAGAGGAGATTGAGGAAGATGTTGACCAAGCAGCAGCTGAACGGAGCGACTTGGGAGATAAAACACCATCAGCTTCGCCTAGAAAGACCCCTCCTGCTCCTGCTGCTCCAGCCCACTTTTCAAGGATAAATAACTCATCTTGATCACTTCTTGAAAATTTTTGTATAGCCGATTGCTCATTAGTCTTGTATTTGCAGAAAAAGAAAACTGCTGTGAAGAAGAGATCGGCACCAGCACCATCTCAACAAGTTCCAACGGTAAGATTCCCTTTGTAAAATCCTTTGAATTTGTTCGTAACTGATGATAACTTAACACTTGTTTCTTTTAGCCTCCTCCCCCTTCACCCCCTGTACAGCCGATGTCAAGTGATCGTACTCCATCGGCTGTAGGCAGCCACAACATTGAGGAAGAACAACCAGCTGCTCCTGCCATCCCAGTAAGTTTTATCTTTAAAAATCTTAGATCGGCTGTATAACATGTTTTGGTATATAA